AACTATCTGTTCTTATCAGATACTTGTCGCTTCTCGGCCAGTCGCCTAAGAATAAATTAACTGTTCTTATCAGATACATGTCGCTTCTCGGCCAGTCAGCTAAGAAAAACTATCTATTCTTATCAGATACATGTCGCTTCTCGGCCTATCGGTTAAGAATAAACTATCTGTTCTTATCAGATACTTGTCGCTTCTCGGCCAGTCGGCTAGGAATAAACCATCTTTTCTTATCAGATACTTGTCGCTTCTCGGCCAGTCAGCTAAGAATTAACTATCCGTTCTTATCAGCTTAACATCTGCTAATATTGCTTCTCAGCCAGTCGGCTAAGAATAAACCATCTTTTCTTATCAGATACTTGTCGCTTCTCGGCCAGTCGGCTAAGAATAAACTATCCGTTCTTATCAGATACATGTCGCTTCTCGGCCAGTCGCCTAAGAATAATTCAACTGTTCTTATCAGCTTAACATCTGCTAATATCGCTTCTCAGCCAGTCGGCTAAGAATAAACCATATTTTCTTATCAGATACTTGTCGCTTCTCGGCCAGTCGGCTAAGAATTAACTATCCGTTCTTATCAGCTTAACATCTGCTAATATTGCTTCTCGGCCAGTTGGCTAAGAATAAATCAACTGTCTTATCAGATACATGTCGCTTTTTGGCCAGTCGGCTAAGAATAAACTATCCGTTCTTATCAGACACATGTCGCTTCTCGGCCAGTCAGCTAAGAATAAACTATCCATTCTTATCAGATACATGTCGCTTCTCGGCCTATCGGCTAAGAATAAACTATCGATTCTTATCAGATATTAGTCGCTTCTCGGCCAGTCGCCTAAGAATAAACCATCTTTTCTTATCAGATACTTGTCGCTTCTCGGCCAGTCGGCTAAGAATAAACTATCCATTCTTATCAGATACATGTCGCTTCTCGGCCTATCGGCTAAGAATAAACTATCTGTTCTTATCAGATACTTGTCGCTTCTCGGCCAGTCGCCTAAGAATAAATTAACTGTTCTTATCAGATACATGTCGCTTCTCGGCCAGTCAGCTAAGAAAAACTATCCATTCTTATCAGATACATGTCGCTTCTCGGCCTATCGGTTAAGAATAAACTATCTGTTCTTATCAGATACTTGTCGCTTCTCGGCCAGTCGGCTAGGAATAAACCATCTTTTCTTATCAGATACTTGTCGCTTCTCGGCCAGTTGGCTAAGAATTAACTATCCGTTCTTATCAGCTTAACATCTGCTAATATTGCTTCTCAGCCAGTCGGCTAAGAATAAACCATCTTTTCTTATCAGATACTTGTCGCTTCTCGGCCAGTCGGCTAAGAATAAACTATTCGTTCTTATCAGATACATGTCGCTTCTCGGCCAGTCGCCTAAGAATAAATCAACTGTTCTTATCAGCTTAACATCTGCTAATATCGCTTCTCAGCCAGTCGGCTAAGAATAAACCATATTTTCTTATCAGATACTTGTCGCTTCTCGGCCAGTCGGCTAAGAATTAACTATCCGTTCTTATCAGCTTAACATCTGCTAATATTGCTTCTCAGCCAGTCGGCTAAGAATAAACCATCTTTTCTTATCAGATACTTGTCGCTTCTCGGCCAGTCCGCTAAGAATAAACTATCCGTTCTTATCAGATACATATCGCTTCTCGGCCAGTCGGCTAAGAATAAATCAACTGTCTTATCAGATACATGTCGCTTTTTGGCCAGTCAGCTAAGAATAAACTATCCGTTCTTATCAGATACATGTCGCTTCTCGGCCAGTCAGGCAAGAATAAACTATCCATTCTTATCAGATACATGTCGCTTCTCGGCCTATCGGCTAAGAATAAACTATCAATTCTTATCAGATATTAGTAGCTTCTCGGCCAGTCGGCTAAGAATAAACCATCTTTTCTTATCAGATACTTGTCGCTTCTCGGCCAGTCCGCTAAGAATAAACTATCCGTTCTTATCAGATACATATCGCTTCTCGGCCAGTCGGCTAAGAATAAATCAACTGTCTTATCAGATACATGTCGCTTTTTGGCCAGTCAGCTAAGAATAAACTATCCGTTCTTATCAGATACATGTCGCTTCTCGGCCAGTCAGGCAAGAATAAACTATCCATTCTTATCAGATACATGTCGCTTCTCGGCCTATCGGCTAAGAATAAACTATCAATTCTTATCAGATATTAGTAGCTTCTCGGCCAGTCGGCTAAGAATTAACTATCCGTTCTTATCAGCTTAACATCTGCTAATATTGCTTCTCAGCCAGTCGGCTAAGAATAAACCATATTTTCTTATCAGATACTTGTCGCTTCTCGGCCAGTCGGCTAAGAATTAACTATCCGTTCTTATCAGATACATGTCGCTTCTCGGCCAGTCGGCTAAGAATAAATCAACTGTTCTTATCAGCTTAACATCTACTAATATCGCTTCTCAGCCAGTCGGCTAAGAATAAACCATATTTTCTTATCAGATACATGTCGCTTCTCGGCCAGTCGGCTAAGAATAAATCAACTGTTCTTATCAGCTTAACATCTGCTAATATCGCTTCTCAGCCAGTCGGCTAAGAATAAACCATCTTTTCTTATCAGATACTTGTCGCTTCTCGGCCAGTCGGCTAAGAATAAACTATCCGTTCTTATCAGATACATGTCGCTTCTCGGCCAGTCAGCTAAGAATAAACTATCCATTCTTATCAGATACATGTCGCTTCTCGGCCTATCGGCTAAGAATATACTATCAATTCTTATCAGATACTTGTCGCTTCTCGGCCAGTCGGCTAAGAATTAACTATCCGTCCTTATCAGCTTATCATCTGCTAATATTGCTTCTCAGCCAGTCGGCTAAGAATAAACTATCCGTTCTTATCAGATACATGTCGCTTCTCGGCCAGTCGCCTAAGAATAAATCAACTGTTCTTATCAGCTTAACATCTGCTAATATCGCTTCTCAGCCAGTCGGCTAAGAATAAACCATCTTTTCTTATCAGATACATGTCGCTTCTCGGCTAGTCGGCTTAGAATAAATCAACTGTTCTTATCCGATACATGTCGCTTCTAGGCCAGTCGGCTAAGAATATACTATCCATTCTTATTAGTGTAACAAAGTCAAAATTCATAATTATTTTAAAAACTACCGGTGTAATGTATATAGTTTTCGATAAAACACGAGTACTTTTTTTGAAATATATAAATTCTTTCAATTTCTAAAATAATTGTAAACTTATTGAATCTGTTCAATTCACAGCATATTATTTGTTTTGTGTAACATTCTACTGTAGTAAATAAACTAAAAATAATAGTATCCTTAATTTTTTTTAAATTATTGTCACGTGCTCAAGGTACAACAGCCCAAACATTATTTTGAATAATGTAAAATTCCAAAAAAGGTACTTATTTAAAAACGAATCCTCAGCAACCGACCTTTTTTATTGAATCATTTTTAATAGTGTAGATAATCAGCAATTTTTAATTTTAAAATTAAATTTTAAAATTTTCTTTATTAATTTATTGCGTGGATGTATGATGTAACTTGGTAAATTGTATCTTAAAAACTTTGCCATGACTTAATGACCAAAATTCAAAATTGATTCATCAATGGGTCATTTCATACTAAATCACTTGTGTGTACGAGTGGATTTTCTAAATGCCTCAAACTAATATATTCTACGCAAATAGTTCCATAAAATCGGAAAATAAAGGGAAAAAATGTTTTCAGACTTAGGCGTTGTGCTAGGTATATTTTTTTAATTTATTGTAAAAACACATTAAGTTCACGACCACGTCACTTAATGACTAATTATGATATTGGAATGGAATTTTCACTAATTTTTCCATTCTTAATAGACGCATATCGATATAAAATACCTGTTACCTGCATGGTTAAATATATTGGTTATTGTATATCGTCTCGAATTGTTGTCTTCAAAAACAAAATGGCCGTGTAAAGAGATATCAATGTCATTGTTACTCTATGTTTTACCGTGTACACATATTTTGCTTGATTGTGGCTTCCTTTACGCTGACATATTTGTTTTCATCATCGATTATTTTATGAAGAAGGGGTGTATGTGCAATACTATTGTACATTTCAACCATGGTTACCTGTCAAAATACTCATAAATCAAGCCTTGCGGGATACTATTAGTTATTATTAATTACTTAGACATTCTGTTATAACATTTAAAATTCTGTTTCTCCAGTGCAACCGAGTTGAGTTACGTTCAGCAAGGCAAAAGATAGAAGTCACATTCAAGGCTCTTTAATAGCCTGTAACCTGGACTAAGCATGATAATTATTGAAAATAATAAAAAAAATTGTTTATGCTTTTAAAATGTCGTTAAATGACCCAAATGAATTTTTAAGTAAATAAAAAAAAAATAAAATTGCATTAGTTTATCAAACTATTTTTTTAAAGTTTCTTAACACGTACATTATAACATTTATAAGTAGGTAATTTTTTTTCTTACAACTTAAGTATGGTTGTGGGTGTATTATCTGTATTGAGTATTTAGTTTTAATTTTAAACATAAAAACTGCATAACCGACTTGAAACGGAGCTGATTTATTAACTTCTTGTTGGCAACCGTAGTAGTAACATGGAACTTTAATTAAAATCATCCAAATTTCTTGAGAAAAAAAAACCAATGCGGCGACATAGTCACACAAAGAAAGGCAGGTATATAAATATACACTTGAGATAATTCACGTTGGTAGAAAAATATTGAGAAAAAAAACAGATAACATAATATAATACAATGTGTATAAGTATATAAAACAAAATTAAATATATTAAATAATGACCTTAATATAATAATAAAATAATGTCAATCATTTATAATTTAACGATACATTTATATTCCTATATATAATCAATAATCAATATTGACATTGTACTCTAATAATAATGTACATTAATATATTATAATATTACATAAAAACTCGTAAATTAAAGCGAGTGCTACGTACCTACCAATTCTAATAAGACTTACAATACAAAAAAAAAAAACAAAACAAAAAGAGCATAATTTAATTCACGGGCTAACCACAATATAATAATGTTAAAGACAAAACATATAAAATAAAAACATAAAGGTTACTCGGACGAGTTTCTCGTTATCAAATTATAATTCATAACATAGAAAAACTTGTCGAGACTTACACATTGAAATATCGTAAAGAATAAAAAAGAAAATGTAAATGTTATTTGGCGTTGTAGTAACACAACAATTAACTTATACCCAGAAGTGAGTACACACAGCGTATACCTATTACGATGACTACATCGTTGACAACATTATTCCGTTATTGTGCAGCGAGTTTTCATAAACACAAATTCACGTACATTAAACTTATTTACTTAATAATTATAATCCATAATAATAAAAATAGGACAAAAAAATCGAACAGTACTTTTCTATGCAGAACGATTATTATTATAAACATTTAGTGAAAAACCAGAGATCGAAAAAAAAAACATTTTAAAATAAAATTAATGTTTGATTGAATTACATTTAAAAACAACTTGTTGTTAGGAGGAATATAATTTCAAAGAAATTAATTAAGTTAAAATTAAGACTCATCAAGATGAATCGACTGTGTGGAAAAATTCTAAAAATGTAACTATTATTAAGCGAAATTAAAAATTAAAATATCATTACAACGTGTACAGAACAATTGTAACAAGACCATTCGATGAGATGTCTAATTAATTTGTATTATTATTTTTATGTATAATGATAACGTTCAATAGGAAAACATCTAAGAATTAATTCAATCTTGTGGATTAAATACAAGTATTCGGCATGGAGACGACCAAACAACAGAAGTACATTCAAGAAATAAATTAATACTATTTTGTATGTTAAAAATAAAAATAAAAAAATATATATATATATATATGAATATAATATGTACAATTAATATGATCATCTCAAGACTCTTTTATATTTAAAAAAAAAATTAATATATTACATAAATTAGTTTTAATAGTTATAAAATTTGTCTTACGATTAAAAAAATTAATATAATAAATATTACGTAGACGTCCCGGGCAATCCTAGGATTTCCGCTTGGACTTTATCGCATTTGGTCAAATGCTTGATGATCATCTCCACCGACTTAATACCTTTGGTACCAGGCTAAACAAGTTAAAAAAAAAAAGATGATAAATATTTGACCATTTCGGCAAAGAGCGGATGCAGTTTTAGACAGAAAACATTAAAACGGATAACGGTATTTCATTGGTAGACCGAAAATCACGTGGGTATACTTAGAGGTGTTAAGCCTGGTCCACACTAAGGTAACATAGACCAACATTAATGTGTTGCAGAATGTTGCTTTCCATTTGTTTCTATGTTTCGATAAAAAGCGAAACATGTGGCAACTAATGAATGTTTCCTTAGTGTGGATCCGGCTTAACGCTGACCGTCCCCGACAATGAGACAACAATAATCTTAAACTTAACCGCAACACTACTTACCGCAGCAGTGAGCTTCATGAAATTTAAGTATTTATCCAAAACGGCCAACATCGCTGCAAACCGACCGTCGGGTAGTTGTTTGCATACAAGTTCTAGAGAATTCTGTAAATAAATAAATTAAAACAAAACGGATATTAAAAAAAATTGATTTTTATCATAGGGGAAAGAGGGGTTGGTCCGGTTAGAATTTAGAAAAAGTGCAAGGCTTTGCACCCGTATAGCCGAAACCCTTAAAAAACCAGAAATTATTATTAAGGAAATAACGTATACGTGAATTAGCTTTTTTCCCCAGGCATTTCTAGTAATAATCCAAAGTCGTAAAAGTGGTACAAAACAAAAAATTATATTTGCTATTACTTCTTTTTTTTATGTAAAGAAAATATGGGTTTTGTTTTATGAGTTGTTTAAAACATTTAAGAGATTTAAATTTAATATAATGTTTTTATTCACAAAAATGGATCAGGTTTCGACACACGTTCTTTACAGTACTCCGAAGAGGTTTTACTATATTTAAATTTTAACAACACCAATAAATGTAGTTTGCTAACGACAAATGAACCGGTGCATTTTATATTTAAATAAATACTGTACCAAATAAAGTTGTGCAATTGAAATTCATTTTTGTTAACCGTTTACCAATTTATCTATAATTTTTAAAAATAAATTTTTATTTAACCGTTTTTAAATCAACTGTTATTTTAACATTCTAAATATTTATTAGATTTTATTTGAATCATTTTTTAATTCTATATTTATTTATTTCTGTTTGATAACTTCATTTATAAGTTTATTGAAATTGGCCAACTTTCATTGTGGTTGATTTTTTTTTTATTTCAGGGATACTAATTTGTCAAATTTAAAAAATATGTATCAATTCTTATACTCGACATTTCTGGAGTTCCTCAAGATGGTCATTACCTTTCTTCACTCCTCTTCAACTTATTCAATAATGATGCTGTTTTTAATAATTCTAACATTTTATTTGCATTTATTTACATCTCTGGAAGATAATATGATATTACAAAAAATGTTTTGAAAAAAGTTATTAACCACAATGATTGTAATAATTATTTATTTTATAATCCTCGTACCTCTCAAGAATATATATTAAATCATCATATTCATATTTAAATGTTTTGCGACATTAATCTAGTTGTTGATTGTTTATTTTTACAAGATCTTCAGAATTTCACGGCCCACCTAATTATTTAGCAATATACTAAAATTACAAAAAAAAATTACCTATGTAAAACAAACCATTTTGATTTTTACCAAACAATAATAATTTTAAAATGTTGTATTTTTTTTCAGTCAGAGGCCTAATTTAGGGAAAGGGGTAACTTTTGAAACTTAAATAGAAACGTTTACGTATATAACTGGATGAGTAATTACATTGTCGTCCATTGTGATGTAACCCAATAGTATGGCAATATAAGACGATATCATGGTATGTTGCATGTTCTGTCCGGCTTTCTCGACAACTATTAAAAATTTTAAAAAACACTATTGTTATCGTATCGGTATAAAAAAATTACAAATGAGCCATTTATCTTCTTTAAAAAATAAAACTACTCACGTAGCGCTATAGTCTCTTCGATGTATTCTTTGTGAGCCTTGAGTGGAGCGTCTTTAGCTGGTTTTTCCGTTTGTTTGTTTTCGCCGTCTAATATTTCATCAGTCTTTTTTTCCTCAGTCTTGGCTAACTCTTCTTGTTGGAAGAACATTTTCACTAGAGCTTCGATCGCAAACGACCTTGACTTATCTGCAATATTCACAAGGAATATATTGATTAATTATGTTCAATCGATAATCAACCAATTCAGTTAAATACCGTCAATAACAACACCGTCCCCTTTGGAAAGAGATTTAGCTTCAACGATGAGCCGTCGATTGTCAGTGTTTTTCTCGGCCAGGTTAATTAACAACGTCAAAGTCTAGTCAAACAAAACATTAAATATATATAATGTACTTTGAGAGCTCGAAGACTGTTTTTTTTTTAAACTTACTAAAAACATAATGTCAAACTTTTCGTCGTGCGGAACATACTCGGGTACTTTGAGTAGAACATGCAAAGTGGTATCGATCACTCCGTCCTTTGATCCAATTTTAGATCCATTAGCTAAAAGGAAAAAAAAAGTTATAAATTGTTAGAAGCCAATTATTATGTACTTGACTTGAAATAAAGAAGAGCATTTACTTTTTTGATTAGTGTCGTGTGAAAAATTAATAAGAACTTTTAAATTTGCAATAAGACACTCTCGTAGAATGCCTCCGACCGATTCTTTGTCGTTTTCGTTATAACTTGGGTACAGCGGAATTTCATAATCGCAAACTTTAAACATTCTTATCAATGTGTTCATTAAAATACCATTTTCAAAGTTCAATAAATACACATTGTTTTCTTCGTTTTGAATCGTTACCTGGAAAAATAAACAAATATGAGTTAACAACTATTTTTTCATTAAAAAAAAAATTTTTTTTTCATAATAAGTTGGTATGTAATGTTAATGTCCTTATTTATAGAAAGGTAAAAAGTTAGGTATTTATTTTGAGAGCTTCCCCTTCTCAATTATTTCATTACCTAGTTAAAACTAAGTTAGACGGTGATTTCTCACTACGATCAAACTTAACCAAAATAACTTACATGTGGTAATAAAAAAATTGAGGTTTTTCAGACCAAAAAAAAAGAACCAGTCTAATACATATTAAACTAAATAATTTACATTTTCTAATATCCTCAGACAACGATCGACTTTCTTGATGCGTTCGAGCAGGGTAGGAGACCAAATGTTCGTCATTGAGTCGACTTGCGCGCAACACTGGACAACCGTCCGTACAATGTGATCGAGTCCCCCAAGCTGTCTCATTTCTTCTTTGAACCATTCCCCGGCTCGAGCGCTTGTCAAGCTCAACAACGTCTCCATAGCTAATTGTCCCACAGTTATGTTGTCCGTGTTTAAGTACTTTGCGGCGCCTTGCGATTTGATTTCTGAACACAGTTGTATAACCCGTTCACGCGTCTTTTGCAACTGATGATCCGTCAAACCACAATCGTCCAACGCCTGATCGTGGCTAGTGTCACTCTCTAATAAGTTCAACATCAACTCGAGACAGTCTCTGTCCAAATCCATGTTCAGACGATCTTGGCTCAATACGAACATGACTGTAGCTGTACACATTCCCAAACTCTATAAAAGCACATTTTTGGTAAGCCAATAATTATCAGAAAATATGTCTCAACACATTATATTAGTTGCACGGTGGTATTACTTGATCTTTGGTGGCATCTTGCAACGCTCGAAATATTTTTGCGACTGTACCGTGTGCTTTCACGTGCATTCTGAATGCTGGCGTCATGCATTTTGTCGCTAACGTAATGGCCGATAAACATCTAAATTTTACAATTATTTATTGTTAACTTATTAAACAAAAAATCATTCAGCATCCACAACATACCTAGTTCCAACAGGATTATTCGGTTGTAACGCGTCCAGGATATACTCAACATCATCGTTGAATTCTTGAAACTCTCCTGATTCTTGAATTTGATGTGCTTTTTTAACATTACGAACGACTGTATAAAACTTTAAACAAAAGACAATATTGTAAGTGTTATTAGCCTAATTTCCAGAGTTCCATTAAAAAATTTGTTTAAACTTACTCTTTTTTCCTTTCGTTTGCATTTGACACTAGTAACCGAATCGAAATCTTCATCAAACACATCGTCGGCAGTCTTAGTTATCCGTTGCAATGGTTTCTCTTCGAAATTATCATTTGGACTCGTGCTCGGAGCGCATTCGTCTTTTTTCTCATCATCAACTTTTTTATCTTTGTCAACCCAAGAGTGTTTGTAAAGGAACATGCCTTTTTTATTTCTTTCGTTTCTCGACTTGAAAATGCTCTTTTTGGCTGCTGGAACAAACGTTTCAGCTTGTTCTACTTCCATTGGTTCGACAACTTCTTCGTCATCAAGTTTAATTGGTTCGGTTTCTACAAAAATTCCTTTGTTCTTTGAAGACGAAGAAATCTCTGAGAATGCGCCAATATCTTCTTTAACTTTTGTCGTGCTTTTACTTTTTGACTCTGTATCGGATTTAATGTGTTCTTCAAGTTGTTTAAGTAAATCGTCATTTTCATCCGGTTTACTAACTACGGGTTCAACCGATTCGACATCAGGTTTAGGACTGGACAATGAATCATCGCTGCCTTCCAATACAGCTAGCAAGTGATTTCGATCATTTTCCAATTGCTCTAGTTTTGATTTGTCAATCACTTTCTCGTTGTCATCTTCACTTATGTCGATTGTTTCCGCGACTTCTATCTGTTTTACCTCGACCTTATCTTCTACAGTTTTTTCTTGATTACTATTTATAATCGTGTTATTAGATATATTGATCTTTAAGGCGGGAACTGTGTTTTTGGGCCTGTCTTGTCGTCTTTTTTTAGGAATTTCAACCACCGTAGGAGATTCTTCCACTTCGTCTGGATCAGGCTCGGCATACGTAGTCTGTGGATTCCGTCTGCGGAGACTCCTGGTAGTTATCGTGGGCGTCACTTGATTACTTTCAGGCACTTCGATGGCTTGCAATGGTTTCTGAGCGTCATTGGGTGGTTCGGTGACCAATTGAGATTTACCCTTAAATATTCTAAGTACGATTGGCGGTTTACTCGGATCTTTGACAGGTGTCAGTGATGTAAACGACAACTCGTTTCCTTCTGGAATTCTGTCTTCTTTTTCAGGGGATGATTCAGGAGTTTTCTGCACAATCAATTTACTTTTTTTCGTAGCCTCAGACCCTGGATACTTGCCAGGCCTGTTTGAATCGGCATTACGACTTTTGAAAAACTTCTTAGGTCGTACCACATTCACAGCGGGTTCAGGTACACTAATTTTTGGAACAGGACTAGCTTCTTGGTGTTGCCTTTTCTTGCCAACGCTGAAGCGAGAACCAGACGTCTCTTCAGATTTTCCTACGACAACAAACATAATGAAACTAAGTTAAATTTCTATTACACAGCTAATGGAACAAAATGTTTTACCTGTAACAAAGTTAGTACTTCTGATCGAAGTAAACGAAGTAACACCCCATTTGCCAACAGTGCCAGCTGATTTAGCAGCTGTTGGCTTGTTGGTATTTTCACATAATAACTTATCAAAGTTAATGGCCGTTTGTACTACACTGTTTGGATTGTTGGAGTACTTGGCCCGACCATAGGACTTCATATAAGACCTAGGACCTTTTGCAGTACTCTAAAAAAATAACAAAAACATTCAACTTAATTAGGAAATCAATATGGCCTTTCGTAAAATGTAATGTACTAATTGTAATTTTATTGGAGTAAATTTACTTTACCCTTTTGTCTTTTTTTTATGTTTAAATAATTATAGCATATAATATAAAATTGTTTCAAATTAAGGATTTTTGCTCAACGTAAAAATACAATATTTTTGCATAAAAATAAAGGTGAAAGTAATGTTCTGGTAAAGTGAATTTGTTAAGTTTCATTAAATTTGTTCACACAACAGAAAATAAAAACTAAAAAAATATTTGTATGTATTGCTTCAAGATAAATTTAATGAATTTTAGAAACATTGCTTTGTACGACATTCAGTTGATTGAAAAACAATAGCATCTTATCTCTCGAGTTTAATAATAATTACTTAGTTACCAATAATTAATTATTAGGTACTTTTTACTATTTGTTAGCTTCACATAGCTTTAAACTTTTTGAATATTTTAACACCTACAGATACTCGACCATCAAGACTGAAGGAGTTGCAATTTATTATGGATCTGCAGTAGATATTAAACGTAATACTATTTTCTTAAAGTCAAAAACGATTAATAATTTAAACGGTACAACATCAATATTTTTTTGTTGTTTTTTTCTCTACATTATATTTAACGAGGTATTTTCAATACTGATTTGATATAGTAATTCTGAATAAAACCTACAGTTTCAAATGAAACAAGTAAAAAATGTTTTTGGAAACGTAAGAGGAACGTAGCTACGTCAGTTTGAGAGGGACGACTTTCCCACCGACTTAACAAGCCAAGCAAAGTTTGGGCATTTAGTATAGACGATTTATTTTACGATCACCGTACCTGCATGGTATATCTCGTTAACAGGCACGATCGAACCTTGGACGCATCTGATACTTTTACCAGAAATATAATAATAATGTGTTCACTCCTTTATTTGTGCATATTTCAACAGGCTTTAAATTAGAGTGAAAAAATGTTGGGTTTCGAAGATTTCACATCGGTAGTGCGTAGGAACGCGTTTCGGACCGTCGACAACTATTGTTTTTACTTGACATTAAAACCGGAATACGAACAGCGATTCACTAAAAGTCTAAAAGCAACCGCATAAACATATTTTGATATTGCATGAAGTGAAAAAAATATATATAATATATATCACCGATTGACTAATTGTAAACAAAACACAGTCGCATACACACACATAATACAATACACACACATACACGGTACACATACACACACACACACCAAAAGGCAATATCGTGCAATGGAAAAATAAAAATAATCAACCTCCACCCAACGCGCATGCGTGTAACGGCCGCACGTCGATAGCAGAATCAATGAGTCGACTGTTCCATGAAAGCAACCATTTTTCCATGAAACTAAATAGCGGGTTTTCTGAATTTTAAATTTCAATCAAATAGTTATTGGATCGATGATATATTTTGTTTCGTGTAAAATCAACAAGATTTCTTTTTAAATTTCTGACCTCTCATTTATATGAAACAAAAAATGATTTTTCGGTCGACCCGTTCGAAAGTAAACTTAATAAAAAAAACTAATTTGAACTTTTAATTTTATAAACGTTAAACTTTTGTACCAAAAACCGCCATCATAAAACAAATATTACATGTTAGTATATGCGTAGTATCTAAATAGTATGTGTGCGAAATTGCAAGCTGGTCTTTGAATAATTTGAGAGTTACAAGATTACAAAGTTAAAAACTAGTGTTATTCTGATATAAAAAAATACAAAAAAAAATATATATACCTACACTTTGCTCACACCTAAATTTAGAATTTGTAAGTTTCATTTTAATACTATTACTATTTTAAGGTAATAAAAACAAATAAAATCGCAGTATAAGTTATGTTATACATTTAAACAACAATAGTTAATAAATTGTAACTACTACCTAGTTTATAATAAAAGGCATGTTAGGCGTACTCGGTAAAGCAAACTTATATATGTATACCAAAATTAAAACCATATGTATCACAAAAACATCTTTTTTTTTAATGTCAAAAGCTTGTAACATACAGCGTATTAAAATGACAATCTTCAAATTTTGCACACATATTTCCAGTAATTATACTATACATAATATATTATATCGTGTAATGTTTTTTCACAATTTTTGATGAAGGTGGTATTTTGGTACCAAAGTTCAAAATTAAACTTATTATGCACTTTCGCCCGTTAATAAATTTAATTTTAGGATCTGGTGTTCATATAGTTAAATGCTAATAGTTTATAATATGTAAATGATACATTTTAAAATCAAACTAGTTATCAATATGTATTTCCGTAATTCGTTTATTATTAAATTTAAACAGTTTCTAACTTTATTATATTAAATTATCGAACATTTTTTACAATATATGATATGCAAACCGTTATGTTGATAAAATGAAAATGATAAACTACATTTATGTGGTTTATAACCGCAGATAATACATTTAAGAATTATACCACAGAATAGATTACATTCTGTTATAATTACAATATATTCACAAACATAAAAACTCACACTATCGACATAGATATTTTTTTTAGTAATGGCCTTCTCAGTTACAGATATGTCTATATAGGTATAGAAATATATAATAGGCAAAGTTAGATTTAATGATATTCAACAAATTTATTTTTTGAAAACACAAAAGACCCTTTAAAAATCAGCTATCTCCATATGAAGTTTGGGGTTAACACCCACAAAATGTGACACCACAAAATGGTAATTTCCAAATAATTGTATTAACCTGACCTGTTACAGAAAAAACAACTTTATTTAGGTAATTACACCGAAAGTGATACAAATGTTGTGCCAAATCACGAGTCGTTATCGTTATTTGTGGCATTTTTAAAAAATTGTCCATCTAGTGTGTACTCGGATTTCGGGTCAACTAAATGTCTAAAATCAAAATTATTACCTAATATGCAATTGTGGATGCAGTTTTCAGTTTTTTTTTTAATGAAAAACAAAACGTTTCGATGACGATTTTTTTTTGGATTTTGACCTATTCAAGTGATAAGGAAGGGGCGATGATGGCAAAAATAAAAACGTTTAAATAATTTCGAATTTTTTTTTTTTGCAAACAAATTACAACAATGGAAGTGGTCACATTCTAAGCAAATACACTATTGTCCATGCTGGATTTATAAGCTTGCAACAGTTTATTGCCGGGCGACCCATCCGGTTCGTTTTCGAGCATTTCCAAAGCTTTGAGCAGCAGCACTTTGGCTTCGTCGATCATTCCTTTACTTTCAAACTGCGATTTCGACATGCGATTTGCCGTTTCCAACAGGACCTGGTGAAGTTCGTGAAGCACCACCGAAGTATACAAGTTAAGTCGTACGTACAAAGGGTCGATGACGTTCAACACGAAAAACATTTCCCGGCACAGTTCTGCAAATCGAAAACAACGTTATTTATTTAATTAACGCCGTTTAAAACTGAAAAAAAAATCAAATGTCGGTTATGATTTTCATTATGAAACCAGTTTTTTTTTTTAAATTATAATATTTTTAGAGCGGACTTCGTAAGATTTTTTGCCTCACGCAGAACAATTATTTGTATAAATACTTATGTTGTTCGGTGGCGGTAAGGCTAGGTTAGGGTTTTCAGATTTGGTTTAATCACTGAATTTTCGTACTTGATTTTCTTTCCAATAGTTCTGCACTAAGTTTCGAATGTTTGTAACCCGGCAAATGACCATACATTTGTACTAACGTGTGCTTTATGTTAAAACACAAATAATGATTGGAGTGCACAAAATTAGTCAATTTCTCGAGAGTCTTTTCCAACAAGGTAATACTTGGATTCTAAAAAATTAAAAAATTGGCAAATGTGTTGTGACTAAATAATGGCAAACATTTAAATTAGAAATAATACCTAATATAATATTCCTCTTTAAAAAAAAAATTATATTTTAATTATGTCAACTCCATAATAAATTATTAATGTTTATTGTAGTGTATGTATATTATTTGTTACTACACTTTGAATTCCATTTTTATGTACTGTTTAAGGTTAGGCTATTTTCAAAAAAAAAATATTTTCTTTAAAAACATTTTTAATTGATAGTATAATATTTGGATGATTCTTAAGTAGAACGGTTTCGAAAATTTTAATTTTAATAGTTATTTAAATATTGAATTAATTAAAAGTAATTTTTAATTGTTAACTTGTTTAAAACACTTTGTTGCACATAAAACAGTAATGTAATCGAAGTTCATAGGTTCTATTTTGTAAAATAAAAGTTAATAGTATAACTTTTACTTTTTTAAATAAAATTTAACTGTTAAATTCGAACCCTGATTTTGATAAACTCGTTATTAGTAAATTATTATTTTTTTTTCAATTAAAAAAAACCCTTGAGATCTACTAAGAATAACAATTCAAAAACCTTACTTGAAGAGCTTCGTCGACAACTAGACTTAAATCTGCAATAATAGTGTCTATTCTATCAGACGACACAGTCGTTGGGCATCGATCACATTCCCACGAGCTAGAGTCGTTCAAAGGATCGGTCGGTGTAAGATTTCCCTTACAGAAGTCCTTTGCCTGAAAATATTTTTGCAAATTACTTGAGTACAAATATAGTATAGGATGGACAGTATTTGAAAAATACTTGTATTTAAATAATTTTCAGTATTTCAGTATTTTATATTTTGTATTTAAAGTCCTAATATTTTCGTATTATTAATTAAACGCTTAACTAATTTCTTTTTCGCCAATTTTTTGGTAAAATAATTTCAATTGCGAAAAATAGGATAAAGAAAATTTTCGGATTTTCGTTTATAGTATTTAATATATTCCGTTCATAATATCAGCAAAATAAATTACGTTTACATTATATATTTAGTTATTGGCAATTATATTATTTTGCTAAGAGAATCTGTTGATCATAAGACACCAACTATAAGACATATTATTCGTGTTAAAATAATTACTAACATACTTGCATATCAATTGTTTACCGATATAAATTCGTGTGAAAGTATTATGTACCATCAAAATACTTGTATAAAGATTATTGTATTTTGCCCATCCCCAATTAAAAACAACACACTTTAAACAGTTCATCGATTAATGCAATAAGATTATGTAGTCACATAAGCTTACGTTACATATAACTGTACTAAAGTGAGTACCCAGCTCCGTGTTACTAGAACATCTTGTACAGTTACAACTGAAATACTTTGTCGCCATGAGATGAGCTCGTCTCCCTCGCGTGCCCCATAAAGCATTTGTGTACATGGTACTTAAATGTTCACCCCTAAGTTAAAAAAAAACAAAAATATTTAGTAATAATACTTACCATTGAATTAGTTATTTACAATGATGAAAATTGTATGCAACATTCTGTAGCTTAAAATGTTATGAGCCGACATCTAAGCAACAGTTCCCACGCCTTTAACGAGAAAAAGTTAAGTGCTAAACAGAAAAATGCACCAAATATAATATATTTTACCGTTTTTCTCAAATTTTAAATGGGAACGAGTCATTTTGTTTTCCTTTTATAACCTTACAAAGTATATTCGCTGTACGATTTTTTATTTATGCGAACAATGCCATTTAAATGGCGTATAAATTAAAAATAATTAAAATCGATTTATATGCTAATAACTGTCAATCCTAAATAATTAATTAAAATATGACCGTTAATTTTTATTTTTAGCTAACTGCAATTATTATTATAGTTGGTTTTTAGCCAACTATTCAAATTTAAAGCTAACACAAATGTCTTCGGGTTTTTTATAAAGAAGGTATGTGTCGAAAATAGACTTCTTGGTCGATACTGATGACAAATGTATTAAAATACATTTTATAAATTAAAAATTTGTGCTCGTTCTATTGAAAATCAAACGAAATTTCAGGTCCTATAAATTAGGTTTAACCAAACCGGATCTAAATGGTTTTGAAAGTGGAAAGATACTGGTTTTACTATAATTGACTGCAAAATCGATGACATATTGTCATTTCTTAAGTAGACTTACAACGCAATAACATGATTATCATTTGAAGTATTTTACTGTATTCTATTGATTAAATGATATAAGGTGTTTTTCCAAAAGTCATCCTTTACCAGACAATGCTGCCATACTATTCCAATGTCAGGAGTGACCTTGAACGAGTACTTACTTGTTTATTTTTCTAGTGGCGTACACACAGGCTCGACCAGCTTCGTCGAAAGACAATCTGATGTTCGGCAAACAACTGTGTTCCAATAAACTGACCACCGGATATACAGCGGTCAAGTTGATTCCGGACAGTTGAACGTCAACAGAGTTCACGTCCAATATTCCACAGACCTTGTGTATGGTTTCTGCGGACGAGTCTAACTCGGAAGTGGTCAAATAAGTATGTTTCAAATGATTACAAATAGCGTTGATTTCTCTACGAAACAAATAATTTATTTTAAAGTAAATCAAAATTTCCAGAGAAACATATGGACATGACTATGTTTTATGGTACCCACCCGCACATAAAAACGTATCACCCCCTCCTTCTACTTTCCTACTATAATCTTATTACATCCTAGTAAATGTTAATACTCAAGTCGAGTGCGGTTTTGCTAGTTTGAAAGGTATTAAATCAGGTCGGTCTTTGTGGTTTTACAGGTGAATTTTTAAATGCTATTCGATTTCATTATGTTTTTCATTATGGCTTCTGTAACTTGACTCAGGTACCTACCCTGAATTCCTAAAGCTAAAGCTGAGTTTCTAAAGTTCAATGATGTTCTGCAGCAATTGCTTGCCTGTGGGGTTTGATTACTCATTGTATGGTTTCTCACTCGTTCACGTTGGTATACGGTCAAGGAACTTTGAATTGCATTGGCTAACGAGTTGAGCTTTCGTGGTCATATTGAAGCATCCTGTTGTAAGGGGTTCTAAAGACACTTGCCTTAAAAAACAGATTTGTGACTTCAAGCAGATAGCAGATGCAAGTAATAAGAGCCAGATCGAAAGAGTGCAACGCAAATTTCTTAATTTTCTATTCCTAATCTGAAAATCGACCACGAGCCTATAATTCTAATAGACTAGGTTTCCAGTGATTAGCCGATGGACGTGGTCTTGCGAATCGAGCATTCTTACTGAAGTCGATCGAGGGGTTTATCGACTGTCTTGAATTACTTAGCCCAGTAAATTCCAAAGCTCTTAGTTTTCGTTATCATACTCTCCATCCTTTCTTCACTTAGCACCACCATTTAATTACTCCAGCGCAATATACAGGATGATGCGCATTGCCAACGAGGACCAGTCCTTCCTATATACCTAACCTAACCTAGACCCGTTTTGTAATAAAATAAACAACGGGACGGATTTTGATCTGCCAAAAAACATAATATTATTCATGTAAAATAAACAAAACGACAACTTTATATACTCACTCGTATACTTCGGACTCGGGACCTCTGTGTGAAAGATGCGATTGTAACTGGAGGAAACGTCGCCAATCGTTTTTGTCGGTTATTTGCAATAAGATACACCGCAATGGGGTTATTATTTCGTATTTGTACTCGTTTGACTTGGCCACCGTCTCGGCCGCTCTGGCCAAGACGTTGCATTCGGTTCCCCGGTGAGAAAACAAACATTTTAACGGCTGGCATTCGGCAGGGCACACCGGCCAAAGGCATTGCTCGCACAGCGATACCACCGGCGTTTTTTTTAAATCTCTCAAGCATTTAATACACACGGGTTCCGTTGTCGGAAACGCGGGTCCCACGATCAAAGGGTCGTCTCGTATAATTATATCCTCAGCGTTAATAGTGCGTTTGCTGGCCAAATGGCGGCCTAGTCGCGGGTCGTCCAGGACCTATATACATGCCTACATATTATATACATTAGGGTAATAATTGTTATTTAGGCGAAGTATATTATAATTTATACGGTGCCCCCCCCCCCGATTAAAATGTCCATCCGTAAAGATTTGCATGTGAAGTACACGTAGTTTTAACGTGAATATAAAGTTATTATTTTTTTTTTTTTTACTAAGAGACAAGAGTCAATCCGAAATTTCCGTCGACATTTTCGCATCACGAAATCCGTCACGTTTGATAAGAGACAGCTGATAAGGGATTAGTGATAAGAGATTATATTTAATCCAGAATTGATGATTTGGAAGGAAAAGTAAAAGCAAGGGGAGGGCATTTATGAAATATAAAAACATATCCATGATTCAATGTTTTTTCTTGGAGCGTAGAAAAAGTCTTGTTATATTTTCTAAAAAATGTCCAAACGGATTAATATTACAGACGAAAAAATTAAATAAAAAGTGTATAGGTCATTTAAATACTACATCACTTTTAAACGGTTTTATTCATCCGATATTTGGGAAAGAATTAGAATATAAGTCAGTTTTGGTAGCCTACGCTAACTAGGGTAAATGTAATATAGTACCTAGTAAATACTAAATTTCTAGGTTGACATCCCTAAGTTAAAGCCTAGACAATACTCTTATTGGAAATCCGGTCTTGTGCCCATCGTTAACGAGAAGTAACATTAAAAAAAAAACAATTTAAATTGTACCTACTTCATAACATATGCACTCGTTTTTGTGTACTTTCCAATGGGACTTCTGATGTTGTTTGGAACAATAAGATACCGACGAACAAGCCGCACACTTATTGTTGGCCGCCACACCGCAAACGGCACACCGATAATTATTTTGATTTCGTATTTCGGTTTCAATCTTAGACATTTTTGTGAAATCTACTTTAATTGGATAGATAAAACACCAAGGCAAACTCGCTGCAGAAGTCAATGCACTACTAAATACTAACATTTATTTCAAGCCACCTATAGGCTATAAATAAACACATCGAATAGTTGCCAAAGTAGAGTGGGGAAAAAATATACACTGGAAAAGTGGTCACTTTCAGTATTTACATTTTACTACAACATTTGTACTTAAAAAAAAAAATATGTTTAGTCGTCCTCTTTTTTCGCTTCAAAGGTCATAATCTAAGAAAAAGAACGTCAACTTTTGTTTTTTGTTAACCTAAAAAACCTTTAAGCTCAACTCCGAGGGGGCCAAGTGAAGCCCAATATTTGAGAATTTCTATGGCAACTGAGTGACGATGTTGGTTGTTTTGGTAATGAAAAAATTTAATTTTAACGATACTTATTTACTGCCAGATAAGAGTGAGGTATTAATGTTCTGTACCATTGCAAAGGTCCAGCCATAGGACATTAAGACAGGTGGGAGGAAATGGCTATTAATCACTTTTGTTGTCAAAGCATACCTAGACTAGTCCTTTTAATCAAAATGTACATCTTTAAGTGGTTTCAAATTAAAAAAATATATTTTTTAAATGTTTCAACTTACATGGTCCTTGCAAAGTGTCAAATAGGCCCCTTAACCTAGTTTCCGGTACACGCCCGCATACATAATAATATCACAACATTAAAACATATTATAAAAAGTACCTATAGGTCTATTATTAAATAATATACAATATACAACAATTATATAACAGAACGAGAATACACCGAAATTATACAACCAAAAACTTAAAAACGAAAACAAGGGCAGGACGTAGTTTATACACAACATACAATATTTAGTCAGCGTGATCATGCTGAGCTTCGGCTTCGCGCCAAATATTTTTTATGTCTTCCACGAATCGTTTCAACAAGTTCACGGCTCCCATGTACACCAGTATCCAGAATACTATCACGAACCAAGCCAGCCAAAGTGAATAGTCGTAATCACGGTTGCCAAATCCATTCACGGGCTTCACAAAGTCAGTCACCGTGATTTCCACTTTTTCGTTCGGGGCCAGATCTGAAACATGAGAATAAAAAGCTGTATTATAATAAAATTACCATGAACAAATTTTTATATAAAAATCTTCAAATACTACTAAAAAAATATTTAACAGGGTGATCCACTAACTATAGACCAGTCAATATTTCATAAGATATTAGACATTTTAAAATTCTTTTTTAAACTTTTATAGTTAATAGTTTGCTCAATTTAAATTTATTTTTTATAATAACCCCATTCCTTATGTATTAAATTCTTATAAACTTAAGCTTTTTACACGGTAACACTTATTATAATGTATATTTTAGTAACTTTTTAAATTAAGAATAATTTACTGAAATTGTTCAACGATCGATAACCAGTTAAGGATATTTACTTTTAAAGTTATTTAAGTTTAAAATTTAGAACGGGAGGAAGGATGGAGTGTAAACTGTAGTATTATTTTTATCTGTACGCATTAATCTACCAAACTCCATCTCCCATCCTAAATTTTGAACATGAATACTTTATAAAGAATTTATTATCGAAAAACTAGTTATCGACTAGTCAACATTTTCAGCAAATTATTTTTAATTTAAAAAGTTGAGATAATACAATATACATTACCATTTAAAAATCTTATGTTTATAGGGTTTTAACACAAAAGGGATGGGGTTATATAGTTTAAAAACACATTAAATTTGTACTAACTAATAACTGTGAAAGTATGAAAAAAAATAAAATAAAAAAGACAAATTTTACTTCCCAAGATTTAATTTTTTTACCAGTATGTCTAATGATGAATTTTGTAAACTCGTAAAGCGAATAATCTGATCCGTTGTACTTGGCTATTGGCCGTCCATTATGAAAAAGTATCAAAGTTGGAACACCCGTTATGCCATACATTGTGTTGAACCTTGAATGGAACAAAAATACAAAACGATTAATTTGTTATGAAAAATCAAGTAAATACAGAATAAATAAAATTAAAATAACTGTTTGAGGGGTTAAAACTGTAAAAAAAAATACTTTTTACCCATATATCATATTTAACAGTAATATGAAAATATTTTTCAGAAACCTGTTAAATGTTAATCCAACAGTAACCTAAAAATTTACTATGGTCAAAGTGTAATTTCATGAAACGTTATTAGGTTTATATTTACCAGATAATTTGTATACTTTTAAAGAACGAAAATATTACTTTTTTGGAACTAAAAATATTGAAAAAAAAAATAGCAAAACTTGTTTTTCTTCAAACAAATTAGTCTGAGAATATGGTAAACTGACTTTAAAAATAATTTTCGCAAAGTAATACAAACCTTTGTTCGGATATAGCGTTAAACGCTACCATCTTGACTTGTGGAAATATTCTAGGCAGTACGTTGTAATGAGGCGCAGCCAACGAACTAAACTGGCAATTTTTAGCGTAAAACAACACCAGAGCGCAAGTGCCCATCGTATGACGGTTTATTACCTCGGGATCAGTCTTCAAAATTTGACCGAGTCTAGTCGAATTGACCACCTGAACAGTAGTAATAAATAAATAAAAAAGACACTTAAGCAGACGACAACCTTAGCACATACGTATTTAATAAAACAGCTACTTTCAATAGTGTAGATTACCTACCTCCGTGGCAACTTCTGTCAAATTCAACGGCACATAATTTGTACAATTGACAATGCGGGAAGTATTGGTTGCAGTGACATTCGATAATGGTTCTTGTACAGACGGCTGACTAGAATTTGTAGTGTCAGTGACGAGTTCGGGGTACAGGACTGGTGATAAGAACGAACTGAGTTTAAACTCTTGGCCGCCATCACTAGCAGTACTCGTAGTCAAATAAGCCTGCATGGTCGGTAGGTAATTATGCTCTTCTTCCAGTTTTTTCTAAACAGCACACGTGACATACAATCAAATACATCAAATCAATAATAATAATATAAATAAAAATGTTGTAACTTGTATATTTTTACTTGGAAATTTTTTATCGCATTGCTGACAGCTTGTATTTCAGTAAGTTCGGTCATTTGAGGTGGTGGCACGGACGTAGTGTTTTTTGGTGAATCAGGCGGTTCTAACGGTGCAAACTGGCTATCATCTATATTTAAGTTTTCGTCTGATTCGGCTGTAACAGATTGTGTTGAAGTAGAAAATTTTACCATTTTTTCAACAAGATTTATCGATAATGTTAATTTAGTAATAGAAACATTGGCAAGACAGTTCAGAAATTAAAAAAGTAACATAAATATTGCTTACCACTTGTTAGCGCGAAAAATACCAAAAGTAAAGTTAATCGCGTTAGGCTCATTTTTGTTTTCCGGTTAAACGTTTTAAAATCGAAAATATTCTTTTGACATTTACATTTCAAAACCAAACGATAAACCAAAAACTGAACTTAAAATATCTAAAAACAATAATGAAAAAAACTAATGTTTGAGTAATTATCCTTAAATAGTAATATTAATTTGTCTTTTTTTAAGATAAAAACATAAATTTAGATTTACGAACGACGTAAGAGTTAAAAATTACACCTGCACCACGACAAAATAAATAGGCATGTCCGCAACTTGTGTTATCAAATCATATCAATTTTTACAATTTAGTTGTCGGTTTTCGCCTTGGAGAAATACACTGCCGCCCAAAAAGACTGACGGTCATTTTGCGGTTAGCACAAATTACCGACTTACCTGTTTATATCACCGTGAACTAGGCTGTGTTATCACATAAACTGATAACATTGTTGATTTTTTCCATAGTGATGAAAATTGAAAACGGCTAAAATCTTATTGGCCGTGGTATTTTTGACTAATGACGGGAAAGAGAAATTTAAAATGGGTGCATTTGCACTTTTGTAAAATATAAAACTAAAAACAATAATATTCAAAATCAAAATAGAATATTTGCTCTCACTTATTAAAATAAGACAAAATAATAATTTTTTATGTCTATTGATGTTCATTTTTGCTAAGTATATTTAGTTATATGTAGTGTTAAGTAATAGGAAAGTAAAAAATGGCACTCTTACGACAAACAATTATTAGAAAATAAAGTGGTACGATTATGTTATTTCTAAAAGTTTATAATTAAACTAAAGACTATTCAGATTACCAAAGACAAACATTTTAATCAAGCCTATATATTATATATATATATATATATATATATATATATATATATATATATATATATAAAACACACTTATCAGGGTCGCAGGTAAAACATATTCTTGATATCCGACTACAAAACTGTCAAATGGGTTTAATGTCTTGAGTATAAAAAACATTTATATTGAAACAAGTACAATTTACTTAAAACGTATTACAGCCTTTGAGTCATGAAGTTAATACCAGAAATATTCTTTAGCTTGGAAAAAAAACTGAGTGTCAAAAAATATTTGATTTTTTTGGGAGAGTTCATATAAATTATAATCATATATATATACTATATATTTCAATGCTCACCTGTCTAGTCAACATGAATTCATACAACCACCATTTAAAAATCATATTTCAAGATGGCTTATGTATGAATATGACGTTATTAAAAAATGTAACCTAATTGAGATACTTTGTTAATTTTTTTACACTATAATTGAGTATTAAAGTCTCCGATTATTGTAATTACCTACTTAATATTTGTTTTATTATTAGTCATGATTAATGTTGTTGTTACCGATATTTATTTTATTTTATATTTTAAGATACTATGGAAATTGTTTGAAGTGTAGATAACCCTGGCCTTACACACTGAGTACTTTCATTGAGGCCCAGTAATAGGTTTAATTATACTGATATTAATTATAAATTTAAAAAAAAAAAACACCTACCCTTTTGTCGATGCACATATTCGTTAAGTCAATTGCACATTTTATATGTGCACATGTTTGTTGCCTAATTAAATCCCTAAAATAATTATATTAGATGATATTGACGTTTTACAACAAAATATTAAATCGTCATGTAATTAACAATGGTCAATATTAACGAGCTACTAACTTCTTGACTCTAATCATCGTACATTGAACCATTAAGTACACAATCTTATTTCAATATTACCTTTCTAATGCACTCGAGATAAACAAAAAACGATAAGTAAGTACTTAATATTGTAACGCGTACGGTCCAATTATAGTGTCATTAAAGTAGGTCGTGCACACAACTGTTATATAGATAGGCGTATGCAGTGGTGAAAAAATATTGACTAAAAATATTTAAATATAACAAAACAAATTTGCTTTCAACTCTTCAACAACAAAATGGAACAGTGGAAAGGTCAAAACGCGATTGTTACTGGAGCCGGGTCCGGCATAGGAGCTGCCACGACAAAAGAACTTATTAAAAATGGAGTTAACGTCGTCGCTTTGGACTTGAAATCAGAACAAATAGAGGTTTCTTGAACTATATATAAATTATAATAGGTTATTTTAAGCAAATAAAACGCACTATGAGTCGTTTCACGTTAGGTTAGGTTTGGGTCGTGCGTACATTTGTGTACCCATGCCAAATCTTGAGTAATTATCGTTTTTTTGGCATGTCTTAAAAATTGTCGTCCATGTAGGGTGCCAGTTCGGGTCAACGAAATCCCTAAAATCACAATCATTAATATGCTTCAATAGTAAAGGTAAAAAAAAAAATCGATTAACAGCCATTAAGCCATCAAGCCCCTGGATTAACGTTTCAAGGTCTATATGATCGACCCTTCTATTTGAGGTAGCTTGAAAAAAGCTACATTGCAATAGTATGGCAGCATTGTTTAGTAAAAGATAATTTCTGGAAAAATACCATTCGATCAACAGTTAACTATGCAACTCACATTTAAGGCGAATCCCAATATGGGTACCTCACTTTCCTGTCAAGTTTTATTTTGCCGCCATGATGGATGAATGGTTTGAGAATATTTGTTAAGGAGTTGGCAATCTTGCTGAGTACGTTCCCTCCAAAAATATTAGGAAGGTAAATTACAGTAATTGTTCGGTTAGATTTAAAATGCTCGGTTGACCTAACAAATATGACTATTATTACTTAACTATTATGATATTACATGGTCTTTAAAATATCTAGATGAGCTACAAATTTGAATTACATTGTTAAGAATCCAAATTCAAATATTACAACAAGATTTTTACAGGATTTGGCACGTACATTAAACGATGGTCAAAACGACAACAACACGAATAACAATCGCGGTACAGTTTATCCGAAAAAATGTGACATCACCGACGAGCAAGCTGTTAAAAATGTATTCTCTTGGATTGACTCGACGCTGGGCGGGGTCAGTATATTGGTCAATAACGCTGGAATTATTTTGAAGACAAGTTTATTGGGTAATTGTTATTATTAATAATCTACAAGTTGTCTTTGGTATTTAGGTATACAGGTATAATACTGTGTAAAGTTTTGGTTTATTTATATAGACACCGTATAGGGGTATAAGATTTCTTTTTCTATATTTCCCAAGGAGTTGTCTAAAGTATACCAATCACATAAGATTACGGATCTATAGAATTGCTGCTCGAGTAAATCGGTCCACAGGAATAAGTTATCTAGACATCAGCCACAAAAAAAAACACAGATTTTTAAAATCAAATGGTTACTTTCTCAGCTAAAATAAATTTAACTTTTCTCTTCAAAATCGATAAAAACATCCTAAAAATATAGGTACACGTTGTGCTATAATGGGTAATTACAAATGCAATTAATAAAAAAAAAACAAAAATTGGTACACGTTTTTCGACTTAAAATTAAGGATAAACAGTCGAGTTTGTTCCAAACTTGTGTGGGAAATTCTTTAGTACCTTCTACACGCATATACATTGAAAACATCACAAACCCTATTTCCTAGAAGGGGAAGAAACTTAATCTTAATTTAGCTTTTTGAAGCGTTTTCTTGGATTAAAGGCCTAAAAATTAGACTGTAAAGTATGTAAATATGTAGTGTGGCTCCATACAACATTTTGTAGTCAAATTTTATTTTTATTATGAAAACCAAAAAAAAACTAAAATTGAATTTAAATGCAATAATTTTCATAAAATGTAATATTGTTACCTGTTGAAATTTACTTGTTATTTGACAAAATTTATCATCTAAGCATTCAATTATATTTACTAATATGAACCTATTTCGGCTATAATTGAAAATATAAAACAAAAATGCATTAAAATTCAACTTGCAACACCTGCGTATTATAGTAATATTAGTCTAGTCTTGTTGTAAAAAAACATTCAACATATATATCGTCGGTTTTCCACATACTTTACACCGCTATTGTCGACTTTAGAATTTTCATTTCCATAAAGTTTCCATAATCAATGTCGCAAAATAATTATTAGCAAAAATTATCAAACAAACTTTTATAATATAAAATATCTCACAAACTGGTCAACGTTTAACAAGTGCGGCGAAGTATCATTATTATTATTATTTGTATTAATAATAACAATTATAATATGCTTGTATATATTGTATACCTAATTGTATGCTTTTAGATGGAAAATACAGTGATTGGAAATTGTACATGGAAGTCAACGTATTGGCTCAATGCGTGTGTTTAAGGGAAGCGTTTCAGTCTATGACGAAAAATCACATAAACGGTCATGTCGTACAGATCAATAGGTGAGCAGTTGCCTATAGTATAATAATTATTTTACTGGCGTTTTTGCTATTGGGCATTGACATTTAATCATTTTTTAACAAAAATCATTTAATCGAAATTATTTTATAATCTAAACCTAGAAACGATATTTATATTTCCAGTATAAGTGGTCACAACCTGACGCCATACTTTGCGCACAAAATGTATAACGCTACAAAAACGGCCATAACGACCCTATGCGAAGGCTTCCGGCACGAACTCAGTCTGGCGAATTCAAAAATTAAAATATCGGTCGGTTTCGTTTGCTAACAATTAAAACGGGTTATTCAAATTTATATATATATATATATTTTTTTTTTGGTTACAGAGCATAAGTCCGGGTAGCGTGGAAACCGATTTGTTTAACACTGCGAATTTCCGACCGTCGGCTCAAATCAAGGACAAGATAAATTTAAAACCGTTGGACCCAAAAGATATAGCCGACGCCATTGTCATCACACTGGCTACACCTCCTCATGTACAAGTCAGTTAATACTCGACTATGAAATAAATCATAAAAAAACATAATATTATTAATACGTCTGGGAATAACGTCCATATTAATAAATAGCATGATGACTACATAAAAAAGCCATGTAAAAATTGTCCTCCTCTTCGACGAGAAACCTATGAAATCGTGATTATGTTTCATAGCACACAGCCACTTCTTATTTTAAACGATTTTTTAATAATTAACACCATGGTAGTACATATTTTAATCATACCTAGCTAACAAGTAAACATTTAAGTAATCGGATTAGGTATGTTTTATTTTTTCAAAAAGATTCGAATAATAATTTAATTTAGTATTCACGCCAAGTATGTTTTAAACCCTTCAAATGTATGCACCAAATTGTTTTGTAAAATATATTTTAATCGAATGAAAACAAAAATATTCTTTTTAGATTGCTGAACTTACCATAATTCCCAATGGATCAACGATTCAACCTCATTGCGCTCCTTCCATCGCCCAAGAAGATATTGGTTTTGTTTAAACATGTTAAGTGAACCGTCGTCTATTAAAAATCGTCAATATTATTAGTTTATTATAGTTTTGTGTATGGCTAAATAATGTTATAAGCCATGGTTTCCTGTTGGATTTATAAATAATAAAATATAGGTAATTTCTTTCGCGAAAAATGCGGTTAATTACACTACTGAAATTTTACGAAAACATTAATTGCATTTCTGAGAAACATTTTGTGTTTTCAATCATCCTCTTTTTTTTACCTCTTCAAAAGTCAAAATCCAAAAAAAAGTAGTCGTAGAAACGTTTTGTTTTTTGACTACATGATAAACCCAATTCTAGGGGCGTGAGAATTTCCAAGGAAATTTTGGTCTCCGATTACCTTGGTTATGGAAATGAAAAAAAATTGATCTCAAATTATGTATACATAATTTACCATTACGGATTTATAATATCTAAATATAATCTATATATTGGATAATTAAAGCCCAAAGCCAATCCAACGTTTGTTAATTGATAAATTATAACCTTTATTATTTCGTGATGATGCCAACTTAGGTGTTAGTCCTCTAGGCCTATCTATATAAATTGTTGTGCCTTTTGGAGTGATATAAACGTTGAAAATCAGTCTAGCTGTCAGAACATCTTGTTTTAAATAATTTTATAGCAGTAGTATTAACAAATAGTTTAAATAAATTTTGATTTGTAAAAAAAAGGGCTCATCCTTAATTGAAAATATAATAATGTTACTATTATTTAGTTCTCTTCGGTGTGAATCTAGAAGAAAATATGTTAAACATAAAGTTTTTTTCTAAATAACCTTGACATTTACAATATTACCAATTTTATTTTTTTTATGTGTTTTTCTCAATAAACAATACAAAAACAATATTTACTCAAAATTATTAAGTTACATTTTATTATTAATATCTTCTTTTCGGTCTTAGAAATAAAAAAATTATAAATAAATAAAAATGTGAAATATTGTCTGTTTAAACAGAGCGGTAAATAAATTAATTACAACTGAATATTACCTTCTACATGTAATAGTAATTTAAATTAAAAAACATTATCAATTTAACATTAGTAGAGAAACAAAAGTACAAACCTTTAAGGGACATGTACTCATTATTATAAAATAAAAACTTTAAGTACAAATAATATTGAAAGTAAAAAAAAATCAGTCGCAACGCAACGTTAATATTTTAACAATATTAAACTTATAGCAACTTAACAAGGAAAAAAAAAATTAGGCATCGAGTTCCGTGAGGGTTGATTGAATATCATCGATATGTTCTCTTAACTTGTTCCATTGATTTATCGATAAGGATATTCCTGTAAATTAATTTAAAAGCATATTTTCTAGGTTATTTTTTTTTTAACAACGTTTTACGTTTGATGGACATACCTTTTTTACCAGGAAGTAACTCGCCATTCTTCTCGTAGTACTCGCGAATATCAACCATGTATCTACCACGAAACTCTCTGACTTTGACGGTGCGATTCTTGTCCAACGACCAAGAAGGTTCTTCGTCTTTTTTGGGAGCACTTTTTTTGGCAGGTGCCTTGTCGGCCGGCTTTGATTTTTTTGGAGGTGGATTTCTCTGTAAATTAGAATAAATACAGAATAAACATTTAATTAGAATTCTAATTTCTACCTATGTTGCAATTGTTTTAATTCTACTGAATTCATTTTAAATTAAAAATGAAAAATACATACTTAAATTGCTTATTTTTGTTGAAAAAAAAAATATATTTTTGAAATATAATTTTATCTATTAAGAAGCATTTTATAACAAGTAGTATTACATATAAAAATATCATTATTAAATTTATGTCGCAATTTAAAAAAATATTAGTAACATCTCTTATTCATAACGTAATTAGCATCCTAAAGGAAACAATGCCAGACATTAGTTTTAATAAAACTAAATAGTAATTGCAATGGATTTAAATCCAACTTATGAGTAAACACATTTTGATAATTGCACAGTACATGATGATGAAAGTTTCACACGGCTGTTAAAAAACTATATTAAGTTCAACTATATAACTATATATCAACTAATATCTGTTAAAAATAAAAAACCTTAATACATATCAGTTTTGTTTTTAAGATATTGGAACAAATTTACTTTATCTGCCAAATTTTTTTTTTTTTATAAAATGTTAATAATTATATGCAGATTACGAATATAAAGTCAGAAATCTGTGGACTACTCTAGTTATACAATTAAGACTATTTAATCATGGTGTAGGTAAAAATTAAAACATTTATTTTTAGGGTGGCTACGCTTTCAAAAAAATTTGGCATTATTATTCATTAAAATCCTTTCTATTAGTAGTATTATATAGTAAATGGGGGACATTTTTTTTGTTGCAGATATTTGTTATATTTTAAGATAAAGGGGAAAAAAGAACAATTATTCTTTTAAATCTTGAGATATCCAATGAATTTTCTCAATACCTATGTACTTACCTAATACCTACCTTTGTGTGTGTACTCATTCTAATGCTTAATAGCAGGAAATCTAATTGGCAATGAACAAATCTATTTTAAAATTCTATACCTAATTGTAATTAGAGCCAAGTGTTTGGGGGATATGATTTTTTTTTTTGAGTAGGGATAACTAATTTATGCAGATTTAGCCGCCCCCCCTAATTGGGCATATAAGTGATAATTTACAATTTTTAATTTAATATTTTCCATTCTAACTTGTCAGCATTATATTAGGTATATCGACTCAATATTTTTCCAAATTAGAATTAACAAGAGACAACAGTGACTTATTATCAAAATTAGTGATTAAACGTGAGCGATTTTTAAATAAGTGACTAAGAGTGACAGTGAGTAGTTTTTACTCCCCACATAACAGAATGAACCAATAAGCAAAATTACAGCATTATAACTTTAAATTAACATAATGAGAACTTACGTCGTCTGGTCCAGAATCGGACGAAGAATCGTCAGAAACTTCGCGTTTTGTCTTTTTCGGTGCCATTTTTTAACGGTTAAGTTTTTGTAATAAGGCAAATGAAAATTCGACAAAACGTGTACGTTGTGCGGCTGTTGATTGTCAATATCGGAGCTGTTGGCTGTAGCCCGTAAACAACAAATAACAATGAACTGTGAACAATGGAAAAAAAAACACAGAAAGACCGTTTATATTTCTACTGGATATACCTAACCGCTAACCGAAACAGATGGAAAAGTCAGTGAAACTTGTCACTTGGAACAAAATAGTAGGTAGGTATTCGAATATTTCACAGACGACGTTCGCCGAAAATAATATGTAATTGTTGCTCCGAGCAGCAGCTGATTGTAAGATATTTCCAACAAAACTACATAACCTCAAAACCAACAAGTGTGACCAACTGCGCGACGAGAAATCGGCTGTCGGTAAGTCGAGCCGCTGCTGTAGCCCGCCGATGTCGGTCGCGAGATATTCGTTATTTTTTTTCCTCTACGATCGGGCAACACTGTACGGTGGTCTGGACCGGCGGAGAGCGCGTTCTAGCGCCGCCCGCGCATTTCTTGAATACGATTTTAGTCACGCTCTCAAGTCTCAAAGTACGATCGGCTGTCGCGCTTACCGGGGTTGTCGTGTTCAACGCAGCATTCGTCTCGCGATCAAATTTCCAAAAAAAAAAAACTTTTGAGGTAAGCTAATTTCCTTAAGTAGGTATCCAAACGGAAAATTAGGATGGGAGCTTTTAAATATTTTGAACATAACTTTGGGGGCCCAATATAAATAAATATATGATCAATGCTTTTAGGTATTAGATTCGAGTACATGCTCGATTCAAATGAATTATAGTTATGTACATCTCAAGAAATCCAATGAATTTAAATACTGTTGTTGCTAAGATTGCATGCTTTAAGCTGGCACAGGTGGTGATAAATATTTTCTATTATAGTATCGACGGTTTTAGGATCGGAAAAAATTCCGAATAATGATCGATCAAATAAAAAAAAATTAAAAAGAAAAAAAAATGAATTTTCCAATGCTTTAAGAACTACGTCGTTTTAACACTGAATTCAATACACAAAAATAAATCAAATGAGTTAAAAAAAAAACATTTTTGCTCGACGATATATCCAAGCAAAGCCTTGCTGCGAGGTATAAGCCTCACTTATACTACAGTTAAAAAAAAATGAAACCTTTTTTATGTTTTAAAACAATTTTTAAGGGTAATTTTTTATTATTTTACATTTGGCCATTTAGTCACTTGTTTTAATAGCTCTAAGCCTATAAAACACAAAAATTATCTAGATATGGCTAAATATAACCTAACCTAACCGGTAGGTTAATTCTACAAGATTTATCTAAATAAGATAAAATATGAGTAGATTTTATCTAGATAACTCCCAACACTGAAAGTAAACGATCCGTCAACAACCGCAGAACATATATATATATTATTATTTTAAAAGTGATTTTCTGAAAAATTGCGACTAAATACATGTTGTAAATAAACGATTCTATTAAAACTCAATGTTCTGAGGTTATAGTATTTGTTGCGATTACATTGGGTAAAAGCAATAAAGGCTGGACTAAACTCATTTATTTTAATTATTCAGTTTATAGATTAGAGAATATGGATGTATTCTACACCCCTTTAACCAGGTTGACAAATCGTGTATGTTAATTTGAACAAGCTAAGTAAATTTTGTATTGTTTTGTAAATTTCCATCCTGGTCATTGATCTATTTGTTATTATTTGTTCTGTTTGGTTATGTATATGGCAATCACTAAAATAAATGAGTTGTTCCTATATTTAATAATCGGCTATTGTATTTATCAAAAACAAATGAGTGAAATACTCACGTCCCTACAATTTCGTATGAAAATGTATTTGTTTCTAAGACAATAAAAAGTTTGTGTCTTGAATTTCAATGAAGGAACAATTCAATAATATCAATATGTACAAACACACTCACACATATATATACCAGGATATCAACCTGGAATATTTTTCTCGTGAAAGGTAAATATAAAAAGATTACCCACAAGATTAGTTATGAGATGATTTTAAATTTAATTCACCATTAGGCCCATAAAAAGAAAAAAAATGATACCAATTCAACATTTCCATTAAAACTGCTAGTCGTTTTTTCTTCATTATATCTTATACATCTACTTACAACGTGTTTTTGGACCATTTTACCTCATTATTATTAATGAAAAAATATGCAAAACAATTACATTCTTCCAACATCACATAATTAACCATACATTCAACAACAATAATTACAACATTTCCGCCAAAATATCATCTTTAAATTTTATTTAAGGTGTTTTTGCTCTTAAATAATTATAACCCGAGTGAAAAGCTATTTGCGAAGCTACTTATCCGTTAAAAAATATCGTTAATGGACCTCGTGATGTTTTGGCAAATTAACAATAAATAATCCTGATTATTGGGCTGTAAAATATACACAATATTATTAGTTAAATTGTAGTTGGTTTTTTTTAGTCCAAAGTATATTTAAAGATATTTTTTTATCCCAGTTTCTATATTCCTTTTATGTCTGAAACTATTACGCCATTTCAATTTGTACAACAACAAAAGAGTAAAAAAGAAAAAAAATATGTTCAATTTCTGAAAATAATTAAGTATAAAAACTAAAGGTTTTTTTTTATCCTAACCTAAATACTCTACAAAGTAATATAAATCAATATAAATCAGTTAATATTATTACACTAGTAAGTACTCATTGTCTCCCCCCCCCTTAAATACAAGCCAGCTAAAATTATTATTATGGACTTCGAAAAATGTATTAAATGAACAAAACTTAACGTTTTTATCAAAAAAAAACAAACTTATTTTATAAAACTTTGTCACGGATGTCTGACCAACTTTGTAGACTTTCCCGAGCCATAGCTTTTTATACTCTTTATCTTTAATAAACAGTTAGTAAAAACTCTAAAACGGTAATTTTACATATTGACTGGGATTTCTAGGCAGTTTAATTTATCTAAATCACAATAACTTTTTTCACACTAACTGTTTTTGTGGTGATCACTTTAAGGGATGCACGCGCTACGTGATAAAAATGTTTAAAGGCTGGATAATACGATTATAAAATTTATTCATTTGAAATTGAGGTCAAGTGGGTTAAACAGAAACATATGGGTGCAATTTTTGCAACAAAATAATGTCTGTGTATTATTTAATTGTATTATATACATATCTTTCAGTTGTATAGAATCATTCGATATAAGTTAATATCTCAATTATTTTATTAAAAAAAAAAAATAATAATATCGCATTCGCATTTGCTTTATTTGTTTTGCAATTACCTCGCTTGACGCCATTTCAAAATAAAACTTAAGCGCGGAAGGAAATATTGAAATACGGAGACATATAAGCCGCCGTAAGTATAATAAATTTGGTTAAAAAAACATCAAATCAGCGTTATGGGAATTTATGGGTAGCCTTTGCTTGCGAGAAGTATGCAAATTAATAATGTAAATATGCTAATTTTTAGTCGGCAAGTATACTTACTACACAACTACTGGGTTTTAATTTTTTTTTTTTTTTTTACAATTCCATTTCAATGGAATTTTAATGAGAGCGTTACAAATTAATTTCTACATCACGGCGCCCGCGAGTCTCTGGAGTCTTATACGATCCGAAAAGGTAAATAATTCATTACTTAATATATAGTAATCGTTTCCTCGTTAGGTATTTAAATGACGGCCGGCGTGTCCTAATTAATTTTACATCAGCAAACATATGTGGAGTGATTTCGATTTCGCCGTGTACACACTGTTATACAATTAAAAATGGTAATTTATAAACTTCGGGTATTCAAAAAAAAAAAAAAAAACGACTTTTTTCCTGTTTTAATTAGTTAAGCTTTGATGTCGAACCGGAAAAGCATTAGTGGCCGATGCTAATGTTCACCGTCAATAAATACAAACCTATACAAATGACACAATTCTCGGAATCGCTAGACCGATCAGAACCTCCCTCCGTTTATCGATCTGAATTATTCAGGAATTATACTCAACATTTATGCTTGTTGATGTCGAGGGTCAAAAGATAAGACCTTCCTTTAAAAAAGCACATTCAGAGTAATCCCCGAATATTTTGCAGAGTTCTCTTTAACCAACAGCTTTGACATTTACTCGATGGCTAAAAGGCCAAAAATTGCAAGTACAATTTTTCTCAAAATCTTTTTACACGTCTATTTGGGTGAATCCGGATCGCATTTTCCATTTAGTCGAATATTACTAGTAAAAAATAAGGAATACATAATAGTATTATAATAAAACATGTTTTATCGGTACTGTAGTTGTTTGTGTTTTTAGCGCGAGAGCGGTTTTTCAGCGCATACATATTATAACAAATCCTAAATTAATGAGACTTATATTAAATATTTCATCGACCTTCTAGACCTGTTGAATATTGGTGTATTCCAAAGTATGCCAACCACAAGAAATAAGAATAATACTATTACATGACCTAAAAAAGACGATGACGAGGAAGCTTTACATTATTCATTTTTCCATAATAAACGGCAGCTAAATTTTACATTTTTTTATTTTTAATTTTATTTTATTACAGTATTTAGTTTTATTTTAATACTGTCATTATATTGTTTTTAATATCATTACTTGTAATGTGTTATTTTTAAGTACATATTTTATTTTATTACATGTTGTAGTTCGTATATCATTTATCATTAATGACATGGACAAAGGTTTTTTTTTATTTGACTAAGATATATAATACAAAATTCTATAATTTTAGTTTTTATAATAAACAAAAACACCAATGATTATTAAATATTTGAACTTTCTACAAAAATAATGCCTTTATTTCATTTTTTAGAAAAAAAATATTAGTGTTTATTTAATGTATTAAAATTGAATAAACGAAAGCGAATATTTTTTTTATTCTGACAGTCATCAAAACCATATCTATTGAAGTTCAAACTAAAACCAAAAAACCCACAATTCCAAAAGTGAGAATGGTAACGGGTTTTCTATTGTTTAGGCAAAGTTTTATGAATTTGATTTGAAAATTATACCGAAGAAAGTCCGCAATGTAACATATAAAACATAAAGTTTTTCATTGAAGAAACACCATAAAAAACTGCTGTATGAATATTATATAGAAAAAACTTAATATCCGATTTTAAAAGCAATATTTTAAGTTTTCGCTAGAACGCTATAACTTTGTCTAAATTGGGCAATCTATAATATAAATATAATATGAAAATTGTAAATATTCTTCAAAAGATCATAAAATGACGTTTGAACAAAAATGAAAAAAGTATGAAAGCACTTTCGCTTTCATAAAGAGATTTTTAGCATTTATATGCTTTTTCAGGACACTATTTTAGTGCTTATAAACGAAAATTAGACTCAAAGTATATATCTAACGTACAGTCGTAAAATATGAGGAATAATTGTAAAGCTAATATATCTAGTTGAATCGCTTCTTACAAATAAAACGAATAAATAAATAAGTCACCTTTTTTACGAAAATTGTTTTTTACAATTAGTGGCAAAACATTTTGTAGACAGACTCGAACGAATTTGTGTTTAACAAAACTTACAAGTCAATGATCATAATATAATAAAAAAACACTTTTTTAAATACTCCTTTTTTACAAAGGAGACCGAGTCTAATATAAAATTATATAAG